GAAAGAGTACAGAGGAATATCTGTATTTTCTCTAAAGAGAAAGAAATCAAGTGTTCTAGAGAGTCCTGTATCGATAAGACAAGGGCATTCTTTAGCAATTTCTGTTGGTACCAACAAGTGGACAAATATATATACAAGTGGAAAATCATAACCAAAGGGTGCATTTTAGCATTCAAGAACCCGGTGTGCAGGCCCCAGAAATTGTACAGTAAAACCAGGCAAATATAACTGCTCTGCAAGTTGATCAAGGGCTTGTCACAAACAGCAAGGGTGTTTTCATCACCACAGAATGGGTAGCTACCAATAACGTCATTATTCACTTCCAACGTGAATGAAGGGCTTGACTGCCACTTTTTAGAAACAGTTAAATACACTGAAAGTCATGATCCAAAACTCAGGGTGACTTTGGCTCCCCAGCTAGCATCCTCTTACTGTGAAGTGAACTGGCTCCTTCCAGTAGCAGTGGCTGTGACAGAAATTAATCATGGCACAAAACCCAAAATGCAAACAGTCTCTTAAGAATCATTTCAACTACAGACCGCACCAGTGAACAATGGCTTACGCTCCTAATTAAACACAACCCTGCAGCTGTAAAAATAGACTCAATCTGTCCAAAGCTATGAGCTGAGTTTAAAGGCTGGTTGGTGAGAGTGTTTTCTTAAGGAAGCCTGGGTCCTCAGTCTTAATCAGCCAATAAATTATTTCCTGCAATTACATTAAATAGAAAATTATCTTCAAATGGAGAGTGCTAATTGAAAATCAAAATTCAGAGGGAAGTTTAGAAATTACACGCTGAACACAATTAGTGAGGAAAAGGTTCACCTCTCCTTCATCAGCATCTTCTGGTGAGTCCTCAGTGACCAGCCAGGACAGCCTATTTACAGCATCACTGAGTCTTCCAATGACCAGCCAAGACAGCCTATTTACAGCATCTCACACGCTCTTTTATTTTGTACCTATAAATACAAATGTGTATCAAGGTTGAGGGTATGGGACAAGCTACCACAAGAAGTGTATTAAACCTAACTGCTCATCCTCAGCTCCCCACCACATGTGGGGGGAGGAGCCTGGATAACCGTGCATAGAGACCAACTCCCCAGTCCATTCCTTTAGCAGAGGGATCAACATGAGATGTTCTAAGAACACTGCTCTAGATCTTATCTGTGCTCACTTTTATTAGAGATCTTTTCCCATGGAAAACATGACTTTTTTCTTTTACCAAGGTATTTCCTTAAGCGTTATAAATTGTAGGACAGTTTCAGTTGATCTCATCAGTAACTTTACAGTGTTGCTTTGTTCTAGGTGGTGCTTTTGTTTTAAAGTAAAATTATTTTTTAATTATTTTAACACCTAGATTTTTAATTTTTATTACATTTACGTATATTTGTGTGTGGTAGGGCAGATGGGTGCTATGGCACACATGTGGAAGCCAGAGGTCAACTTGCAGGAGTCAGTTCTCACCTACCAGTGGGCCCTGGTGATTGAACCCAGGTCATTGGGCTTAGCAGGAAGAGTCTTTACCCACCGTGTCAGCCCACCAGCCAGTAGTTTATTAAATAAACCATAGGTTTTCTACTGAATCTGATTTAATAATTTTTCTACATTAATTATTTATACAATCTTTCAATTTAGCTAAGTATATCCTCTCTGATTTCCTTTCTTCGGTATCCCTCTTTTTGTTGTTTGTTTTAATACTTTATTTTATTTATTATTATTTAGGGTGTGTTTGTGTGTGTCTGTGTGTGTCTGTGTCTGTGTGTCTGTGTGTGTGTGTGTCTGTGTGTGTGCCTGTGTGTGTCTGTGTCTGTGTGTGTGTGTGTGCGTGTGTGTGTCTGTGTGTATCTATGTGTGTCTGTGTGTCTGTGTGTCCGTGTGTCTGTGGTGGGGGAGGCGTGTACAGCATGGGAGAGTTCAAGTGTGTATTTGCCAGGGAATGGGTGAGGAAGCCACAGGAAACTTTAGGGAGTCTCTCCTTTCACCACAGTTCTCTCCTTTCACCGTGAGTTCTGGGAATTAAACTCAGGTTATCAGGTTTGAGCAGCAAATGCTTTTACCCTGGGCACCATCTTACTGGCCTGAGCATTCACTGGGAACATATTTTGCTCAGCGACTGAACTGCATTCCAGAAACTGCAGACACCTGACTTTGGCAGCGCCCTTACTCTAACCACTGTGCTACAGCTAGTCTGCTGTGGAAGTCTGTCATCAAAGGCACCTCATTAATACTTTGGAGCATCTGTAGAATCCTTACACTTATTTTCAATGCTCTTGTCAGTGATATCTTCCACTCCTAAATGTTCACACACACCAGCCCCATGTATCAGAGAGCACCTAACCCTAGCTGAGTCCCATGCAACTCACAAGGAAAAGAAAATAAAACCCATGTGAAAAGGGCCAATTTCTATGTGACTCTACTCTGTTTTATTTCTGCACTATTATAACTTAAAAATCATTCAAATGAATTGTTTTTTTAATTTGTATTAAAAAAAAATCTTCCTAGTTCTGCCCCTGAAAACAGGGTTTATAATGGAAGTGCTGACACAACCCGAGTAAAGCCGCGCAAGTGTTGCCGCTATAATACACAAAATCAAGTTCTATTATTCCAAACTATCCTCGCTCATGGGATTTTTCTTTACTGTGCTCCCAGCCAAACTGCTGAAGCATGAAAAATTTAAATGCAATCAAATGCGCCCAATTCTACTTTACTAGAACAAGTGTCTACAGTGGTACAATCTTAAAAGGAGATGCAACAGATTTGTTTGGTGTTTTTTTTAACTGTTTATTTATAATACAGTGCATTGGAGATAAAATAAAAGAGGAAATTACACTCACATGGTACCAGTGTATTGACTACACAGAGTACATTATAATCAGAGAGAAAAACTACATTGTCAACTTATCACATTGGTTAAACAAGATGGTTTTCTGGGGCATAGCTATTATCAAGTAAAATCTCCAAAAAGAATTCAATATCTATGGAACATGTAAAATTTGATTCCCATCATGTGTTCCTTGAGTTTGAAATGTCTCTGCCCAACAGACCAAGTGAATTCCCAGGACACAGGGCCACTGGGAAGAACTTTGTGCTCAGCACATTAGAGATAAAGCCTCCATAATTAATCTCAGGGAAGCCAATAGGAGCATTTCCCCAAAGGTAATAAGTGTTCTACTCCAATTCCCAGCATAAAGTCTAAATGTTTAGGTCGTTACAAAGTAACTCATCAAATGGACTTTCTATTCTTAGATAAGAAATCAAAATTAGATGGCCTGAGGCATTATTAAATGATCAGGATGCCAGGTATCTATGTATTAAGTCCTCTGTTTCAGAAAGT